TGGGGGCCCCCCCCCCCCCCCCCCCCCGCCCCCCCGAAGTGAACAAGTAAATCAAACGATTATCTCCCCACGTCTGAGGTCTTCAGATACAGGAAAACCTCAGAAACACCCCACCACTGAGTCGACCAGATTGTATGATCCTTTCGTTTGACCACGGATTGGAGCTCCCACTCGGCAGAAATGTTGCTAGCGCTGATTTAAGGAAAACAACAAAAAGATGCGTTCACCTTATCATGTGTTGGTTCTGTTTCTATTCCATTTTTGTTTTCGCCAGGAAACGGACGCAACAGTGCGCACCGTGACATCGTCACTGGAGGAGAAGAGCGTCGGCAGGTTCATCTTCTTGTGGACGGGGGACTTCCACGACGAGGCTTGCGGCCGCCGGTGCGTTGAAGAGGGAGAAAGAAGCGTTTTGTTATACAATATGTAGTGGTCCCGGTATAATGCCGGTAGGTGCCAGACGATTTTTCAACGGCAATATTCAGAGTATGAAACAACTTGAAGATTCCATCCGTGCCAGACGATTTCAACGGCATTATTCAACGGGCATTAATGCGGGACCACTACTGTACTGGCACCTACTACTCCGTCGCTTGTTGCACGGGATGCACGGCCGGGGCTGATGCTCGGCGAGGCTGCCGGCTGGATAATATTTCGGTCGCTGAGGGCCTCTGTTGCAGTTGGAGAACAGCGTGAACGCGTGTCCTATTATATAGTGTTGCTCTGCTTCTCGAGTTTCGAGGTCGACATCTAAAGTCCCAAGAGTACGCACAGCGACACCCAAAATTCCCCCCCCCCCCTAAATTTTGTTGTTTTCCTCGCTATAAAAATTCGCTGCTCCCAGATCCCTGAAGGCCGAATCGCGCGCCCACCGCCGCCTCGCGACGGAGTCGCTAACCCGGACGATCAAGATAACGCCCGACATCTTGGCGGGGCTGCTGACGCTGCTCCTGTTCCTGTTCATTTTGGTGACCGGTCTTGGCTGCGTGGGGGACATCGAGTGCCCCAAGTCCTTTTCGTCGGAGGACCCGGCCAAGGGGAGAGAGTATTAGCTTCGCTTCTCACTGACGGGGGTTCTTTTTTTCTAGGCTCCGGGTTTGGACATAGGACACACAGCGCGCCAGGTTTCTGATTCGTCGAAATAAGAAATGGGGCGCATTTTTTTCCCTTTTTGTCTCTCTTGTTGGCGCTGCCTTGTGCAGCCGAACTGAGCGCGAAGTAATTTTTGTTCGTGTCGCGGCCACGGGGTATTGAAGAGCGTAGATGGCAAGGCCGTGCTCTTTGTACAGCGGGGTTGATGGTTGTGCTGAGGGTTGTTCTGCTAGTGGTTGGGTGAATGGGGACGGCGGGCGGAGGATTGGTCCTCACAACGACCTCCCGCGCATTGTGTTGGCGTTGGAATCCATCGCGAAAGCTATGGGCACGTGCATGTCCACGGGTTTCATTCATTCATTCCTCTACCGTGATATGGAGCGGCGGTTGGGCCCCAATTGAATGAACATACTTCAATGTATTTTGATAGGTTCTTCCCGCGAGGAGTGCACATTTTTCATGCGCGCCCCTGGTGTGTGTTGTGTATGTTGGAGTACCCTAGGTAGACCTAGCTTGCCCCGTAGTTGTTCGGTAAGACGAGCATCAGCACTCCCACAGGCGAGGGTGGTCGGAGGGGCTCGAGTAGCTTCCTCGCGGAATTTTCCAGATTTCCGTTTTTGCCGCGCAGCCAAAGGGTGGCAGTTGGGGGATGCTTCCTGGAAAGGAATCGCTTTCTGTTTATGTTTGCCCACCCTATCACGTGTTTGCAAGAGGTTGAGCAAGACTATCACCTGTTTGCATAAGGTTGAGCGAGATGGCGGTGATGTGGCCACGGTTCTGACGAGAAATACGAGTCGCACATCATGAACGTTCCTCCAATAATGATGATGTGGACCCGCGTGCCGCGTGGATGGATGGAGACGTGGCCGCGCTCTCCCCCTTGCGTGCTAGAGGCAAGTGAGTGGCCTAAGGTTGGACGCTGGGTCCACGTCGATCAAAGGATTAACCAAGGAGCCCGCGCCTGTCGGCAAGCACCAGCAAGGGCTTGTGAAAATTCCTAAATATTGCGTTTGCGTTTTCTCGAGCTTGGGTTGACGTGATCACGGATGATGACAAACATGTTTTTTTGTAAAGTAGCGCGCCCGATGATGGCGTGGAACACAGCCAACTTTTCTCACTTTTTGGAACGTTGAGGGAGGCGCTGCCTGGCGTGAACAACGTCCTCGGTAGGACAGACACACAGGATGACGACTGCTTCGAACCAATCATTCCTTTTTGTGCGTCCGGAGATGCATTCCCTCGCCCAGCCCATAACCCTGTGTGTATTCTTTTCGGTTTCATCGGTCGCACCGGACCGCGGGGTTCTCAAATTTTTCTTTTGTGGGACAGCTTAAACACGAAACCTTGTGCGCGCGCAAGTAAGTGTGGGTGGGTGTGTCTTGCACAGAATGTGGTTTAACATACTGGCTGTCTTGGCGATTTCTGTACGAATAAACTTGCCCTACGGCCCAGGCTGTCGCACATGTATCGTGATGGTGAGATTCGAGTGTTTACGCCTTGCCCCAAGGAAAATCCCCATCGCTTTGACGTGCTGATCCCTTGTTGCGTCTCGAATCAATTTCGTCGGACTATTTGGCGCTTATGTCTGCTTCTGCACAACTGCCCGCCTCCGTTCCCTTGCCCCTCAGGCTTGGGGGATAATACGCCCTATCTTTCTCCCTTTGTTTTTACTAAACGAGCAGCTAGCTGTGTTTCGATTCCATCAGAATCGCTTCCTCTCTCCGAGGGAGTATCAACTACTCCATCCAGGCATTTAGGCTACATCGAGTCGTTTCTTTCCCTGGACTTAGATTAGGTGACATGTCTTCCGCCCCTCCATCCCCCCCCCCCCCCTACACGTTTCGCCCTCGCGCTTGAGCAGACTAACCCAACTCCATTGTGCTGTACTTCCATTTTTTTACATGCTGGTGCCCACGTTGGAGTCTCAATGCCGAATTTCCCCTTCCTGACAACATGCCGTTGCCCACGGCTCTCCCAAAGAGGTCGATCCTAACCTGGTCTAGACTAAGCCCTTTTCTACTTCTCTGCTGAACGTACATCTCTGATGGGGGTCACACAGAGAAATGAATTCCGCGTAAACGTACTCCAATGGGCATGTAGGACGATCAAGTAGAACGATCAATAAGTTGCATTCGATAGCAGCTTTCACGCACAACAAACAACTCACCTATCCCTCGGGGCGTTCTAGCTCAAGTACATAGTCTATGTGTGGCACCTCGAGTACATTGGACGAAACACTGCTGCAGGCTGAGCCTCCGCAATCGAGTGTTATCTTGCGGGCTCCGCCTGGCTCTCATGATAGCTCTCATGATACTACCAGTGTACTTGCGAAATTGGTGGCGAGAAATTCAGTGCAGGGCGCGGTGGTGGTACTATTTAATAGGACATTTAGTCTTGAAAAATGACGCCCGTCGCCTCTCCCACGTGAATCGCTCTTTTTGAATCAGGACCCTTGAATCGACGCTCGTCGCGCGACCTCCACCGACCCACGCCGGCCCTAAGGTGGGGAGCAACATCGTAGTGGCAGACAGGGAGAGAATCATAGTGAATTTCTGAAGAAGGAAGGTGGTTTGCTCATGCTCAACACAGAAGCCGTGGTTTTACCGTCGTTGTCATGTATTAGTCTAAAGCAGCAGAGAAACACAGCTTGCTCGCACTGCATTGGTGTGTTATTCTATAGGTCCGGTGAGAGTACGCCCGAGTACGCAAGTTTCGAACATATCCACGGCGGCGATGGTTATCATGCGATGTAAAGCTCTTCTGATCGGCGGAGAATTTTGCGCGTGGCTCTGTGGCTAGAAGTATGAGCGTGAGGCATCGACGTCAACACACCCTTCGTTGCAGGATGTCGTTCTCTTGGATCATGATGACGGTCTGTCTGAATGCCTTCGTCCCCCCGCTCTCGGGTACCGACAACGTCTTCCGTGACAAATGAAGAAATAAACAAAACGCAGGTGTGGTAGACCCCCGTTGTACATGATAGTGCTGATGCTTCATCCAATCCAACTTGTATCAGCTATCCAATCACGAATCATTTGTTAGTCTTGGGGGTGCTTTGGGCGCATCCATGAAAGGTAGGTAGCAGCGTGTTACCTGCTCCACAGTACCCGTTGCCCCGACGAGACTGGCTGCAGCCGCCTGGGCGGCCGTGTTAACATCTCCCAGGCTCTTCCTCAAGCTCGTCATCACCTCGGCGACCTCTTGGCTGCATCAAAGAGAGTACCACCACCACCACCGAAGAACAAACGAAACGCGAAAGAAAGGCGCATCGCATCGCATCGTAAACAAAGACCCATGTGTCAACCCGAGCGTGATGCGGTGTGCGTGGAACTCGATAGTTTCATGGCTGCCAAAAGTACAACGGGTCGTGGGGTAAAACACACGAGCAAGACATCACAGCATGCAGCAACCGGAAAGAAGATGGATTCTCATTGACCAATTACTAGTGCCGAAAATGTTGTTTCATGCGCCTTCCTTCTGGACACATAGTGTTTCTCTTGGACGAAAGGGCGTTGGACGAGCAGAATTTTCTCCTCAAATGGGGCGCGAGCAGAGGTAACAAAAGGCTCGTGGTCGTTTCGTTGTTTCAACGGGACGCTGTGTTTGTCTGTGATGGACGTATGCGATTGGCAGGGGAGTGCTCCGCCGAACACCCGAGACGTGTATTTATGTGTCAAAGCTTGCATCTGCAGGTACACTAACTAGCAGCACCGGCTCGTTCCAGCTTTGCATTGAGATGTGTAGCCGAGGTTCCGTACATGTGTGCTATGCAATGCAGTTTTTTATGCACCCCGACGAGTCGCTAGACGGAACAAATTTATCTGTGTCTCCAACGTACCTACTCGAAAGGCCCCCTCTGAAATATTGGTTGTACATGAACCAATGTGTTTTGGTATAATCTAGCGATATGTCATCCCAATAAATTAAGAAGCTGGGGAGTGTTTCCCACCGTTCTGACACCCCCGTTAGCACGCCCCCCAGCCCCCCCCCCCCCTACCCGTCCATTCCGTGTTCTCTCGCTACCGAGTGTGCTCCCTCACATTGAAGCCCGCTTCGTCATCGCTCGGCTGAAGGTGTCGTTGACCCCCTCCGGCTTTTCCACGAGTAGCTGCATCCCGTCCTCGTCCGCGGCCATCTGCAGCATGGACACCTTGTGAGACACCGCGGGTCCCCCGGCCTCCTCGGGACTCTCATCCCGATCCACCTGTATTCTCTTGATGATGAAGGACACAGCGGCCTTCCGCGTGGCCTCCGCCTGCACGTTCTCAGGCGTCGGTTTCATTCCAAGGTTGTGGAACGCCCTCTCCGCCGCGTCCATCTGCCGCGCGTCAGTACATATACACCGCGTTTCGAGTGAATTCACGCTACAACAAAGCAGCGCTGAATGTTTGATTTTGTGTACAGCGGGACGGGATAGATTCGCACGGTATGAACGAACACGAGATTGTCATGCGGGTGTTTTCTACGCGTGGATCTTTCTTTCCGCCTCGTCTTACGGTGTTGTCCCAAAAGTGAGAAGAGAATACGTGGGGGAGTGCACACTAGGCCCTGTCTTCTTGAACATGTAAGGATGGGTTTCCCCTACCTGACTACCTCTGTGTTCACCTCCTTGTCGCAATAACAAACAAGTCTTGCAGCATTTCTTAGCACACAAACCTCTTTCTTCATCTCCTTGGCGTCAAGTTTCGCCGCCACTGCACTCCAGCACACCCACACCTGTGCTAGCTCTTGGTAATTGCTGGCGTCAAATATCACTATCTGCCGTGGCAGGAAAAGTGCAAAAAATATAGCGAAAAATTGAACGTGAATCAGGACCTGGCGGGTGGAGTGGGAGTTAGCGCCGTTCATCACATTGGGAGTTCTTTCTCCACAATACCCAACTATATCATATAGGAACGTACATACATTTGCATCAAAAGACGCTCTGAAACGGAGGCTTTATGTTGCACCCCCCCACCCCCCCCCGTCACGCTATCCAGCAGTGGCTCCTTCACTTGTATCCCCCCCCGGCGAAAACCCGGTATATCGCTCCGTCTCGGCATTGTAGGGATGCTATTATTGTCTACCGACGTATTGTATTGCATTCGTACCCCCCCAAAGAAACATAGTATCCACTTGCTTGAACAACGTTGTTGGCCGTTTTGTGCTGCTGCATGAACATCTCCACGTTCAGCCTAGTGCGCCAGAATAGCTTCGAGCCGGAATAAATTGTTATGCTGTCCATGGTGGGCTCGGGCGGGGGATTTGAACCCTCTGCGGGGGGAGCGTGCACCGGGGAGTACTTAATATGCTGGTCCCTCTTTCCTTCCGTCGAGAAAACCATGTGGCAGAGTGGGCTGTGCGCGCGACGTGGACACGCAACGGAGCATCGACAAAGTTATTGCAGATAATTTTCCGAGGGGAGAGCAACTATTTAAAGGCCGGGAGTGACAGAATACACACGCTCGTTGTTCAGCCGAGTCTGGATACAGTCACGCCGCCACCATCTAAAGAAGAAGACATAAGCATTTGTACGTAGTGGTACAACAATGGCCAAACCCAGCGACACTTTGATAATTTGCCAACATCCACTCCCTCATAATACAGTCACTCTATATTCGATGTCCTCTGTGGTTGGGATGGGACTCACCACGAAGGCTGTTGCGAGACCGATTCCCAGCTGTCTATCTTCATATCCTCGACGTCTTGAGGTGGCTCGTCCTTTGCTGGCTCGTCCTGAGCTGGCGCAGCACCGTCAACAGCAGCCGCCGCATCGACTGCAACCGCCGCAGCGGCGCCCACGGCAACCCCACCCTGTCCAGCAGTCTGAATGGCATGCCCACCCACCAGCAACAAACAGAATAATCATGAAAAGAAACCGCCTGTAAAACACTTGTACATGGGTCTCAAAATAGAGTACTATCCTTCAATATGTTGAATGTTTCGAGGAGACTTGAGGAGACAGCTACCAAAAGTGCGTAAATATAGACGTATGGGATAGTAGTAACATGGCATCACCGGCTGCCCGAGGTATGATCTTCTCCTAGACTTGGTCGGCTTGCCGCTTCCGTCGTTCTTCTCCCCGAGCGAGCTACGAGGCCGCTGCTTAGGGACCGGCGGCTTTGTCTGGGGCGCCGACAGGGGTCGATCGCCGTCTACGCTCGAGCGACGAGCGTTTGAAGCACGCCTGCTGCGGACAACAGGAAGAAACTCTGAGATTACGCGTCACGTTGGAAATGTATTTTTGGGGAAGGGGAAAAAGCCAACTGCAGACGTTCGTCTTTTCCCGCCGCAGAGAGATGACAAGGAGTTTCGAACACGGCTTTTTCTGGGGCATTCTTTCGTCAATCGCCCAACAAAAGATTGTCGCTGTCGTCTTTTCTTCCCTCGTTGTGGGGCGACTTGGCAGTGAGGTTTGCTCCCCCCTAGCCCCCTAGAAGTATACTCTCTGCGGACAGAAACGTGAGAGGCCGACAGCGCGCAGTACTTGCATGTTGCGGAATCTTGGCTCCGATTCATAGTGGTCTAAATACTACGAGGACACGCCTCTGGCCTATGAGTGTCGTCCTGTCTTATTCATGTGTGTAGGCATACATCACCTGCTTTGTCTTGATTCGTTGAAGCTCCTACACTACAGTAGTAATACTTCTGTCCGTCTGTTACAAGTATTCATACGATTTCAAAATATGTAATATAACAGTCGAGGCAAAGAACAAATCAATACCTTTGCTGCGAAGCCTGCGTGCTGCTACTACTTTGAGAGAGCCGACTGTTGTGCGAGAGAGGTCTGGATGCCGAACCACGCCTCGCAGTGCTCCCCGCCGCCCCCCCTTCGACACCGGACGCAGCGATTCCTCCAGAGCCGCGCCTAGCTTTCGGTCCCGCCACTGCTGCGCTGTCGACCCCGGGTGCCGGTCCGGAGTTGCGCCTCACTGATGATCGTCGGGTGCCTTCGACATTGGGCGCTGTTTCCTTTGTCTTCGGCTTGTCTGCCGCTTCTGTTATCCCGAATTGAGAACAAATAGGGAGATGGGGCTATTTGCTGCGGCGTCGTGTTGTTTGCTAGGCGATAATTTGAGCGTTCATACGTAGTCTAGCCGGCCGCGAAATCGGGCATGGTGGAGAATGCAAGACCCACACCTCGGGGAACACATTCAGCACCACAGCAACCTCTACCAAGTCGTGCTCTTCCTTCAAGTTGTAAGGCCGTCACAAACGATGCTTCAACTAATTCATACGACGAGAACAAGAGACAGCACTGAGTGGTACGCCCATCAAAAAGTGTAGACGACACACCTTTTAGTTCTCTTTGCACGCCGCAAAGCGCTACGCGGTTGTTGCAAAGGGTTGTTGGAGGCTGTGGTGAAGAAGAAGGGCGCAGTTGCAAGGAGGCTAGCCGCTACGACCATGATCAATCTTGTGCGGGGATTCAATTACTTGACGATGCCTCGGGCACTTTTAGCATCGAGACCAGCTGCTACAATATGCCGTCGACGACCGCATGCTGTCCAATGTACCCACCTGTTTTCGGAGAGATAATGAGCTTCTTCATGTGGTTAAGGAGTTCCTCGTCCCCGACGTCCTGAGCCGCCATAGCCTCATACTCTTTTCGCAGGGCTGTGGGGTCGACGACACCGACAGACCCCGCGGCACCCATCGTCCTCCCACAACCTACAGAAATAAATACAGAGTGCTCTTGTTGTATGGGATTGTCAAGGCACCTAACAAGCAACCCGTCGTCCTGCGCTGCGCGTGCATCCACAATTGTTAGGAATGAATTCTAATTATGTGTCCGTCGTTTCCCTAGAGAGTCGAGGAGAGTTTTTTTTCGCTGGTCGTGAATCGTAACATCGTACGTTGTAACGCTTGGGCTCTGCCTGCATACATGGAAACCTGATCCGGGGTATGAGAAGTGAGGAAATCGCTACTATTCGCGTGCCCCTGCTGTTCAGCTCTTCGGACAGCATGAATGATAGATACACGATCCTCTTCTCACCACACACATGCCCCATGTGAACAACATGGAACAGCTTCTGAAAAAGCTGGCCGGTTGTTGGCACGAGTCCGCTGCTGGAGGTGACGTGGCTCGGCTGGAGCTCTACCAGGCCATCACCGCGAAGGGGCTCTCCGGAGACGACGAGGAGTCTACATCCAGAGCTTTCGAGCGGCAGCGAGGTGCCATCCTGCGGGTCCTGGTGAGGGGTAAGTGCCTGCAGGTGTTTGTTGCAAATTGCTCACGACCGGCTGTCGGTTGCCTGCGTGTGCAGGCCTGGAAGTGCAGGCCTGGAAGAGCAGAAGAACTGCAACCGATCTATTTTTGCGATGCAAATTCGCTCTTGATTCAAATATTTTGAATAAAAAAAAAATGGCGTTCAAATTCGCAACTTTTTTTATCAAGAGAGATATTGTCCTGCTGTGCTTCCCACGTACCAACGGACTACTGCACCGATTAAAGGCGGTTCCGCACGACGTTGAGATGTGGAACATCTACCCCTGTGCCATCTACGTGCGAAAGAGCGCAGCGTATGGGGCTCGTCTTCTACCCCGCTCTTCGTTAGGCTAACTGCGGTTGTAAGAAGTCTTTTACTATTTGTCTTCGAGCCGTCCCTCACACGATGCCGGTTAATAGTGTTGCAGGCTCGATGCCCTGTTTCTCCAAGACCTTCTGACAGCATCCACACCACCTGCAAGTCAAAGTTAACATTTAACGTATTTGCACGTAACGCAGTGGAGAAGTTGTGTTGGACTGATCATCGGAAACTTCATCCAACTTCAAAACTGACTCCCCTTCTTGTCGCCGTCGACCCCTCTTCTCGCGTGCCGAGAAGACTGCCAGTCGTCCTGCGATGACATCCAGAAATCTGCCCTTGAGCTGTTGGGTCACATCGTCGCCATGGCATCGTCGTGTGAGGGACCCGCCTGTCAACCAAGCCAGGTAAAGTGTAAAGCGCTTGCTATTGCATGAGGAGCATTGCGGTCTACGGTAAAAAGCACAGATTGTTGGTACTCGCCAAGCGTTGCCCACAGCAACAGACTGCTGCTACAGTTTTATATAACAGCGCCTGCACTTGAAGATGGCCGCTTAAGAAGATAAGAGTTCAAACTTGTCGACACAGGCACCAAGAACTTGAACACGACCCCATACTAAAGCCTAGTCGTAGCATAGCTGTCGATGAACCCACACAGGAAAGACGAACTCCAGGGTTGCGCAATGTTGAGGTACAACAACCAAAGGCACCCCGACAATGTGTAGATAAAGGGGTGGGGGAGAAGGGGCGGGGGGGGGGTGATCAAGATGAATCACTGGTTGCCTATTAATTTTCCCATTTTTGTGTGACTCCATGAGCGATCGACGTTTTCCCCCCCTTTTCCTCGCTTGAATCTGGGCATGCTGCGTGCGAAAATGACAGGCGTCGTCGCTATGGATGGCTGTGGCCAGGGTCTTAGACGGCGAGGATTCGAAGAGGATGGTCAAGGTCATGGCGCTGTTCGCCATCGCCAAGAATACCATGGCGCCTGATCGTAAGCAAGTCGCGTCGTTTTGACGGCGGCCCTGGTGCATGTAGTACTTCATGGAGAGCTGACCCTAAACTTTCTGCCAAAACAAAGCTGGATGCCGATGTCGTGCATAATTTAGGGGAAAATCTGCCTTCTCGCCTGGGGAGCGGGTAGAAAATCCACGACCTATGGGTTCCGTCCACCAAGCTGAGGTTGCAAGAACAGAAAACGTAGGGTTGTAAAAAAAGTCACCACAGCTTTCCAGTGACGTGTGTTGCAGCGGCTTGCCGCATATGTGCCTATTCCCTGTCCATATAGATGTCGGTTGTGAAGTTTGTTGCCCGCCCCAGCGCAAAACTGTTTTGGGTACGGGGTAGCTCGTGCTTCCGCCGCTATGCAGCCTTCGCGGTTTGGTCAAGTCTTCACCCCTCACGCGCTGCGATCGTGGCCGAAGACACCGGTTCTGTACTAGCAGCACACTAAGATAATTGAGCCTTCCATCAAGCCTGTCTCCGGTCGCAACGAATATTGTGCCTGTAAACACGCGCTTGCTGTTATGCCGCAACAACAACAAAAAAAACATCGACAGTGGTGGCGCCGAGCGTGGCGCAGCTGGCGCCCGCGGTGGCTCAAACGATGCGGATGGAGAGCACGGTCGCCCGGCAGCAGTCAGCCATGGCCATCCACAGCCTCCTCGGTTCCGTCCCGGGTGCCATGGCACGGTGTGACCCGGGTAGAGCAGACCGCCCAGAGGAGGTGCGTGCTTCCACTACTCGCAAATAAAATCGATGGGCCTATGTAGATACACAAGAACGGATTTATCGCTAAATCCTGCTGACCCACTCTTGCTAGCCCGATAACGACTTCCTTCGGGTGAGAGCGCCCTTGGCCATGTATGCGACAAACCAGTACAACCCCTTCGTCTACCCCACTCACCCCTTTCGCCGCCCCCATCAAACCAAACCGTAAACACTGGCCATCCTTTTTAACCCGACAACGCTCTTCGGGCGAGTCCTTTTGGCCGAACGCCCAACCCCTTTTGCCTACCCCCGCCTCCCCAAAACTAACCGTTGGTGGCCACACAATCACCAGGAGGACAGCTTCTGGGTGCGCTGCCTGCTGCGGCTTTGCTTCGACGACGCCGTCAAAGTCCGGGCAGATGCCCTCAAGGCAGCGGAGAGGGCCGTGTCGCTGGGCGGACTGAGAGGGAACGCCGGGATCGCGGCGTGGGTGCTCGAGGCACTCAGGGATGGCAGGCTTTCCCAAGGCATGAGCAGGTGGGTTGCGTTGTTGTTGGTGTTTATGGTTTGTTGATATTGTCGTTGTTGTTTCCTTGGTCTTGTTTGAGAGAAGGTGGGTTAACCCTTCTGTCTATTTTGTTGTGGGTAGTTCGTGTCTTTTTCTGCATCTACAACGATCAATTGTGCTGTGTGTTTTTCAAAGGACATTGCTCGGCGTCGAAGGGTGGGGGGGGGGGGTAGACGAGGGGGCTACACGAAGGTTGTAGGTATCGTCCGAGCGTTGGGTGTGTGAAGCATTTTATTGCACACACCTGCCTGTAGTGAAAACGTGTGCCGTTTCGTAAGGTCTGTACCGTGAGCTACTGACAGTACGGTATGGGTATTCCTTCCGTTTCGAAGTGAAGATTTTCCACGAAGAGGGACGGAAAAGTCGTGGTAATGCCGTCACACACAGCTAGTTCTCTATATTGCGTATCGACAATCGCCTTGCCACTGACGTGAAAGTGCCATTTGGTTCACGCACGCCAGGATTTTCCTCTCTCTCCGCTCGGGTCGGCTCTCTTCCTTTTTTTTCGTTCAGGCCCCAAAAAAACAACCAAGACTATCGATTTCAAATCAACGAGAAACATGCTACCTTTGGTACGACTATTACTGTCACATGTAACCGCCGTGATGTTTTTTTTCTCGCCTCCTACGGGTGGGTGCCTTTGCTCCTCGATGCAGGGTGCTCTTCTACGATGCGAGTTCTCAGTCACAAGCCACGGTACCAGGGGCGGCCGGGGAAGCAGATCCGCTCCCTCACGCGTTGGGGTCTTCCTCGACTGCAGCAGCACCGGATAGGACGAACCCGCGGCAAGCCACGCCACAGCGAGTCAAGCACGCGGTACGTGCATATGTTGTACTCCCCGCGTGAGCTAAAGCTCGTGCAATGATTAAACCACATGTCGGTGTTTGTGTGCCCGTGCAGCTCGGCCAAGCTGTATTCTGAATCTTGTTCGGAGGGGAACGTTGACTGGTGTGTTGCGAACCCCGTTTTTTCCCACCCCTTTGCCATTGCTTTTCCGAACGTCGTCTGATAGACATGGTGGAGTGTTTTCTCTCTCGCACTCTGCCGGTTTTTCAATCTCCCGGCGTGTCTCCCCCCCCCCTCTCTCTCTCTCCTGCGCCTTTGCTCTTTGCAGATCAGGGTGTGGGCGGTGCATCTCTCGTTGGCAGACCCGACCAGGCTCCTCAGAGCGAAGGACTCGGCCGGAAAGAAGAGGCTTCTCGACGTCGGCACCGGGTTGTTCACGTGGCTATCCGGGAAGTCTGCCGACGGTCGGGACGACGTGAAGGTGCAGGCGGTGGAGTCGTGGGAGATGTTCGCTGTCAGCATGATGGCCCAGATCGGCCGTGAAGAGGTAATACCCGCCGCAAAGGATACCGGTTATCCCACGGGCAAGGCGGAGACAATAATACGATATGTTGTTGCTCGGAGTTTTATTTTTTGCCAGTCTGTCTGATGCGGTTGCGGCCTTTCGGTTTTCAAGGGGGGAGGGCTGTTCCAGTTCGATCGTGAATGTCCTCTGGCCTGTTTTGACGTCCAGTGTATTTCGATGGCACCGTTTCGTCGTTACTGACGTCAGTTGATGAGCCGCCAGTGAAAGAAAGAGGAGAGCTCTCTTAGTGGCAAGGCCTTTTCATATTGTTTTTTCTATTCGGTTTGTCGGTACTGACTTAGTGGCTTTACTAGATGGATGTGGTTTTTCTTTGTGTATTTGCTTAGATGATAAAGTGAACTGCGGCGCGCGCTTGCTTTTGCATGACGTCAAGAACGAGGTCAACTTACGATCGCATCTCCCGTTGGAACACGCACAATGTTCTCAGCCTCTTGTGGAGATCTCGTGTGGCAGAAATGAAGCGCTATGTGTACGCAAAAGCCATGTTCCAGGCACGTGCAGGCAGCCCACACCGTTTGCCGAGGGACGCCTTGCGTTATGGGCCCGTCTCGAATATGTTGGCTATTGAAGAAGGAAGGGAAAGCACGTTGCTCCTACGCTTTTTTCGCCTCCCGCCCGCATGTTTTTCACGTGCGTACTGTACAACGCGCATTTTTCGTCGCGCAGGCGAAAAAGGTGGCTCACATGTTCCTGAGAGCTTTGTCCCGCTGGGTCCTCAAAGAAAAGTGAGTGTGGCTGACCGGTCTGTCGTGCCATGAATCGCGAGAAAAAGAGGCGGATGGTAGTTTTGGGGCAGAGGGGGGGGGCGGGGTGGGGGAGGCGTACTTTTATGTTTTGCATGCCTTAGCGGTTAGACCATTGACCACGCGTCCTCGAGAGGACGGAGCACTGTTCCCACAGGACCGATCACCAATGGCCAATCGTTCCTTCCTACTTTGCCAAAGGTGGCTCAAAAATGTCGTCCCTAGTCTGTCTATCCTAACGATATCACTTCCCGCCTTTTCAAACCACTTCCTATCCCCCAGTACAGCTACCGTCTTCTCCTCTCTATTCCATGCCTCAAACATCTCCCTGTACCTCCCTTGTATTTTTCCCAGCTCAGTCATGTACAATTCCCTCTCCTTTTCGTACAACTGACATTCCGCGACTACATGAACACGGTCTTCGCACTCGAAACTGCAATCACATTTGAACTTGTCGTCTTCGTCGTCTACCGTCCTATGTCTTCGTCGACGTTCTCGAAGGCCTATGTCCCTGGTCCTGAATTTGACCTTAAGCTTTGTCCATGTAGGTACTCCTTGAACCCTATTCCTTCTTTCAACATTCCGTACACTGCTAGACCCTCCTTATCCTCGGTTTCTTTCCTTAGATTCTGTTCTTCTCTCTCGGCACAAGCAACAGATATCTTCTCCTTGAACCCCTTTAGACCCTCCGTTTGTAGACCCTCCGTTTCCAGAGTTTCATCTTCGTCGATTTCGAACCCCTTCCATACGTCCTCTAGAACCTTGACCCATTCCGTGGGTTGTCTACCCCTCTTTTTTTGCCCACTTCGCCTCCCATACTATTCTCGGCAACCTCTCCTCTCCCATCCCGCCCATGCGATACTGCCATGTCAGCTTCCTTGCGTCTCTTCCCGACCGTTTGGGGCAGGGGGGGGGGGTACCGTTACGGCCTGGGGAATAATTTGTTGGTGCTTTTGGAGGGAATACCTGCCAGTTCTGAATTCACCCCATAAGACGTTCCTCGCACGCCACTTCTTATCTTTGACAACGTGATGGCAATATATTTTGACGTAATGGCAGTCTCTTTGATGGCATGATGGCCATATCTTCCGATGGCGTAGTAGCAATAAAACCCGTAATGTCAAAAGTATCGTATCTGATCTTTGGGCAAGGGCATGACGGCAGCAGCACCTACGATGGCACGCAATGAATGTGGCAGGGGTGTTGTCAGGGAAGTGGCCATGTCTTCGCTCATGAGAGTGGTGGCCTCGTTTCCATCGACCTCGCTGAAGCCCCTGTGGACCACCACTTGGAAAGGAGACAAGAAGAGCAAGGGCTTGGGCGAGGTGTTGCGGGATGTTGCGGGTGAGCACGCGTCCTCGACTGTCGCTGGCACCGCATGAACTTGCCATCGGAACAATCCACACCCCTCAAGTGTCTTTTTTTTCGCCCATTCGAGAGACGACCAGGGGGGGGGTGGCGCCGTAGGAGAGAAGCAAGAGGTTGTTGCATGCTTGAGTCTTGATGGATGGGCCACCTCGAAAAGTGTACTATCGCATTCCCACCGCGAGGAGAAGGTCGAACCGAAAGAATGCGATAGGTTACGTGACTGAAAATGTTCGGCGGCGCATGCATCCGCTTGTCGACGACGTGCCGACCATGGTGCTTTGTGGACAGGTCAGCGCAGACGCGTCCAATAATTTGCCTGGTTGTGTGCTTGAACGCGCTATTTCGTGACGAAACTGCTAGATGGTCGCGTTGTTACTGACTCCCGATTGGTACATGGCCAGAGCACCCGGTGTATTCATCAAATCTTGCGGAAATCCCCGCGTTTTCGTCTGTGGTCACCAGTGTCTTTTTCGTGTGTATCTCTTGTGGCGTTGCGGTTTGCAGGGGGGAGCAGCGGCGAGATTGCTTGGCACCACTCCGCTCGAATTCTGGCGGCTCTTTTGCCTTGCTTTTGCCTACCGCCAGCGGGTGAGCGCCTGGCAGAGGATTGTGTACCAAACGCCGACCGCTTGCGGTTTGGGGCGTTGTTTGTTGGGTGGCTCTTCTTCTTTTTGTCCTCTTGTTGTTGTTGTTGTTGTTGCTGTTGTTGTTGTTGTCGACATCGTTGTCGCCTATCTATATCAGGCGTTCCACGTTACTCGTTGATGCCCAGCGCTGCGTCATTCCGCACTGACCGTTGGTTGTATTCTGGAAAAGAAACTTGGAAAATGTCTCAGTCTCTTGCCATCGAAAGGACACGCTCCGGTACTACTTATCAGGTACTGCTGTATAGGCGGACATTTCCCTTACCGAGGCGCCCCGTTCCCAAATTCTAGAAATACACAACAGCTTCATGCACGTTTCGCTGTGCCATGCTTCTCTCGCCACCCCGACGGCCGTGTCGATCCACAACATTTCCTCAAGAATCAAAGCAATACGTGACAGAGAGCCGCAGTCACCATGCACCGGCGCATCGAGCGTGGGTACCATTTGGCCGTGTCGTCATGACCTCCCCTCCCTTCTGTTGTTGCACTAATGTTGCCGTCGCCGTCGGGCTACCGGAACAGAACCGCACCCCTTGCTTAGAGATGCCGGCCTCAACCTTGGCGAAGAACTTCCCCTGCTCCTCTCAATCCTGGAAACCCTCATGGAGGCGTTTCCCTCCCCGATCCCCGAGGACGCGGCTTCCGCGGTAGACGCCGCGGCTCCGCTGCTGCTGCCGCCGTCCTCCTCCTCGAGCAGGGGGGCGGAAGAGGAAAACTGCTGTGCCGACGTTCGGCTGGAGGTCTTGCCGACGTCCGGCCTGATCGCTAACGCGTGGTGCGGCTTGGCCTTCTGGGCGATGGAACAGGCTGCTGCTGCTGGCTTGGATGTGCAAGGGACCGGGAAAGGAAAGTCTGGTCCTGCTGATGCTGGCGAGTCTGCTTCAGACAACCAAGATGGTAGCGGGAAGGGGCATGGAAATACCGCCGCCGCCGCTAGAGACTGCCGGAAGGAGGGCAGCGGCCCCAGTAGCTCGTCGGCGGCTCCTCCCAAAGAAAACGAGGCTTCGGAGGCCGGCCGGCCCTTGCAGGTGCTCTTGGAGTGGTTGCTTGGGGTGAGAGCAAGGCCTTCGACAGGGACTGGTGCCAAGGTCACGACGGTCACCGAAAAGGCCGTCCCGGGCGGCAGCACAGCGGAGGGGAGGGGAAAGGCTGCTGCGAACCCCGCTTCATCTCCGACTACCGACCGCTTGGCCAGGTGGAAGGTGGCACTCCTTGCTGCTCTGATCCGGGGACTGTCGAGACGGCTGGACGTTCAGAACGCTGAGACGGAAGCGGGAGCAGATGATGCCGACGCGAAGCTGCCCGAACGGGCTTGGCTCGACGCGCCCGTGGACTCGTCTTCTGTCTTTGATGGCTGGTCGTGTGCCGGTGATTGTCCGGCTTGCGCCGAGTGTTTGCCGGCGGGGGGCGTCATCCGTCAGTCCATCTCGAGGAAGTGGCTCAAGAGTGAGACGCCCCTGTGGTTGGTGCTCCTTACCGGGGTGCTGCGGGGGAGGTGCGGCTTGGAATACCGATGCCTAGACGGCAGCGGCGGTGGTGGAAGCGGCGGCGAGTCGCGTGTTGTGCGAGAGGCTTGCCACAAGGGAAACCCCCGGCATGAACCAGGCGTTGCTACCGACGGCACCCGCGGTGGCGGCGGAAGCGCTTGCCAATTCTCGCCCGTGTTTCTATCGCAATCGTTCTTGGGCGGAGCGCTCTCGTTGTCGCCGGGCGGCTGGCCTGCACAGCTTCTCGCGTCCCTGCTGACAGGCGTGCGCTCGGCGAAGGGGAGAACGCAGGAGGAAGAGGATTTAGCGTTGGTGGTGGCAGGCCGCGTGTGGCGTGCCGAGGCTGCTCGGAACCTAGCGGAGTGGAATCGTTGCCTGCCGTTGTCTACCGACTCGTATGTTGGTGCCGCGGGCGCGGGTTTCGATGGTGGCGCGCAGGGCGTGACGCTGGGGGGGGACCGTTACAGAGGCGGCCCGGTCGCTCCACACGCAAGAACCGTCGGCATATCGGTATCAGGCGCGGACGTGCAGCAGAAGCAGCAGCAGCGGCAGCCGAGCGAGAACCTGCGAACCGCTACCGCCAACACGTTGAGGTTCTTGCTCCACGCGGCCTGCTCCTTGTTTTCCCGCCCGCCGGAGAGGAACACGCGGAGCCAATCGAAGGAGTCGGAAGGCGCGGCAGGACAGGCATGCGATCCGGGAAACAGGACCGTGGTTAGCACCGGCGTCCAGAACGAGGCTCGCGAGGCGGTGGGGGTAGCAGAACACGACGGCAACCTCCGAGGGGAGGATTCACGCGGCTGGTCGCAGGGCGGCAAGAGATCGGCGGCCGTGGAGTCGGTTTTTGGCGCGGAGACGGCGAGGCTCTGGCTTGGGCTTTTCGAGGCGAGGAGAAACTCGCCCGCCCAGCCGAAGGGATTCTCGAAACTGGTCAAGGCACTCGCAAAAGATTGCGGAAACTGTGCTTTCGTCGTGTCGGGGGGGCCGTTGGGTGGAGGCAAGGGGGGAGCGGGGGAGGAGGGTTCTTCCGCGGCGCCGCCTCCGGCGGTTTGGGGGCTCGATTTCAGCCAGACACAGCCTCCGTCGCAGCAGCAGCAGCAGCAGCCGCGAACGGGTCAGCGGGAACCGGGCGACTTTGCTTCCTCGACGCAAGGAGACAAGACAGCCGGGGCCGCGGCAACGCGCTACGACAAGTGCAGCAACACCGACCACCCAGAAGGCAAGAAGCAAAACGGCGGCGGTGACACGCTTGCCCCCCCGCCGCCTTTCGTTGCCCTCCCCGTGCTGGCGGCGGCGGCGCTGGCGCTCTTGACGGCCGCTCCCGCGGAAGCCGACGCGAAGGCGAAGGGCCGGGCGTGGAAGGCCGGGTCCGCTACGCTCGCCTGGACCCTCACAGCAGCGGCCGCCGCCCCCGCCACTACTACCCGGTCACCGCCGGCATCGCCGTCAACAACCCAGCGGTCATCGGCAGCAGCGGCGGCGGCGGTGGCAGGGGTAGCAGCAGGAGAGGAAGGGGCAACCATCCCCGCTGAGGTTTGTCAATGCCTCGGCGCCGTGCGCTCGTGCTTGACGGTGGCGGTGGCGGCGGCGGCTGACTCCGCGGGAGGGGGGCCGAACCGATCATCATCGTCGGGGACGGCCGGCTTCCCTCTAGACAGGGATTCGCTCGCGCCGGTGTGTCGGCTCTTGGCCGTTGCGGTCAGAACCTCGTATGCCACCGCTGGTGGTGCTGCTGCAGCTGCTGATGCAGGCCCGGAGCCTTCTCCCGGAAGCCTGATCCAAGCTGCTCCTTCCTCTTCCACCGCCGTGGGGATCGAGGTCGTGGCTGCGGACCCTGCGGTGCGCCCCGAGATTCGAGGCCTGGTGGCGTGCGCGCTGTCGGCCAGCAGGAAGGTGGCGGCGTCGCCGGGACTGCTGACCGCCCTGAGCCCCTTGCTAGAGGCAGTGCTGGACGTGTCTAGTTCAAGGTGTGGGTCTCCTTACCCACACGCGCTCTCAATATGTTGTTTAACTCTGTTGCCCTGTACGTAAGTCTCGGAAAAGATGTTCGATTTTGTCGTGCTTCGAGTGCAGTCAACAAGTCAAGCATTTCATGGTTTTCCTTGATTGTCCTGGTGGCGTTTTTTGCGAGCGGCGCATCTATACGCTCGCTGCCCCCTTGTCGTCAGCACAAGCGGACACGCCAAGCGTGCTCATTAAATGGCAAAGCGTGTGGTTTTGTACCAGCACGGAAATCGTATTGTCTAAATGCCAGCACAAACATCTCAACGTGGTTTCATCCTTGTGCTGCTGTGCGGTGGGAGAGAGCCCAAACTATTGTTGGGGTTTTATCTCTCGAATCTCGCCCCCGTTTCTCCTCTCTTTTTGACTCCACCACCCCGAACCCTTTCCCGCGCGGAGCAGCTGCGACGCAGACAGCTTGCAGTCATCTCTCCTGGACGTGTGGAACGCTACCTTCGGAAAGATCAACCTGAAACAGCCGCCTGCGCCGGCATGGAAAGCCGCGTTCAGCCCGTCCTTGCTCCGGCGCCTATCGGACCTATCCCAGCGAGCAGAGGTCGAAATGCCCCGCGGCATCACTCTCCCAGTGCTCGACACCGTAGCAGCACCACCAACAGCAACAACGGCCCAGGGGCTCCGGGGTTCGGGCTTGTCGGAAGGTAACAAAGGAGCCGAAGGGGGAGGCATCGCGGTGGAGGAGTCCGCGCGGGGCGGCAGTGAAGCACGAGATTATTCGCAGCCGGAGTCGGCAGCCGTGGGAGATTTGCGGGCGGCGGCGGCGGGGGGTGGGGGGGCGCGAGGCCGCGCTTCGTCTGGTTGTGCTTGGAACGGCGGCGTGGCGGGAGCTCTCCCAGCAAAGGGGGGCCGGCGGTCCTTCATGAAGCAAGCCTCTAGGAGGTGAGGATGGCGCAGCAGTCGGAGACGTGCGATGAGAATACCACAGCAGTCCCGAGTTCGTTCCCCAAGAGCTCGAAGCGTTTTTTTGGGGTCACTGGGTCTCTTACTTTGTCGGTGCCAACCCGTGTGGTGTGTGAATCAAGACCCGATGAAAGACGGACCCCCGGTGCACGGGACGCAGCAAAAGATGTTTCAGTTTGTCAAACCATGGTCGAGTGAAGGTAGCTGTTGTGCCGAACCATTATTAATAGTCTGCTGCGTGTCGGGAGAACGGAGAGTCGGGCAGCTGGCCTGTTTTTTGCCCGTGTTGCGACGAACAGTACTGAGTGTGCGTTGTCCCGAAAACTTTGCCTTCGCTGCAGTTGTTTAACTGTCTACACATCGCACACCATGTGCGTTGTCGAGTCCACTTTTTGACCTCATCCTGTGCGGTGCCCTTCCGCGCGACTGCTTGTCCGCCGTTTTCGGTCACGTGTCAGCCCCTCGCCAAGCCAAAGCCACCCTGTGGCCACCCCCAAGAAGAGATCGCCATCTCCGACATCTCCTGACGGTGCGCGGTTACTTATGCATAGTCGGGGTAACTACGGTAGTAGTCTTGGTTTTCGCTAGGGCTCCCATCTGGCGAGCACTGTCGGGGTCAGGTCTAGCCTACAGAGTTGTTGGCTGGAGGTTCTCGTGCGGCCTCGACATCACGGTTAGAGTTGAAGGCTGTGAGAAGAGGGTTGCCATCGGGTCGGGTCGTGAGGTCAGGGCTGGGGTGTGTTGAGTGAGGATGTTGCGGCAAAGCCATGTTAGCGGTTGGCGGAGGAAAGCTTGTCCCAGTGAGGTCAGGCCTGCGATTTTATGTAACCCTTGTGAAGTCTTCAGCTATATTATTTTGGCCCCCTTGTTTCGGAAGACGGTTTCTATCTACCCGTGTGTTCCTCTTGTGCACCTGGGCGAGCGTAGAGGGAGAACCTACCGAACTTGACTACGCTGTCGCCGTCGCTGCTTCGAACGGCTTGCATGCCGGCGTGAATCTTGCCATACGAGCTACCCCAAACGAAGGAAAATGAGCACGCAACACACACATGTACGTGCATCTGCTTTTTTTGGTCTTTTCAACTTTTCTTGATGCCTCACGACAGCAGGTGGTGGCTTTTCGGGAAAGTTTATCCGTGTTGTCGGGAACGGTCGGGGGAGCGGCGGCAACAGGGGTACCCCGAAGAGGAGGGCCGCCGTCACGACGCACACCTCGCTCGACGGCTCTCAGTCGATCGCCCCCTGGGAGGACGGCTCTCAGCTGCCTGACACCAACCCCGACTCAGGTGCCGTTTTCGACTCGCCCCGCTTTTCTTTTGCACGTGCGTGGGTGATCTCTGTGTGTGTGTGAACAAGGGTTCAAATACACTGATTGGTGGTGAATTCGCCCGTGTGCCCCCCGCACACCTGTTCATGCTTCCATAAACGTAAGATGCTGGAAATTCGTATACCGTACCTATCTCCAGCCGACGAGGCTACAGTAGCAGCAACAGGGCTGGCGCAGTCGGTCTCCACAAGAGTCGTCCGGTATTCTGTGCGACTCATGCGGTTGTCAGAGCGATGTCTGGCCAAACTTCTGTGTTGCCAAGTCGCCTCTCTCTCTTGGTATTCTGCGAATTAGTGATTTGGACGGGAGAGACAGGAGTCTCCCCCATTGGTTTGGCAGAGGTTCGTGGGGAAAAAACGGCGACATGGCAAGAACGGATGACGTCGGGAGCACGACACAAAGTAACTAGCCGCTGTTGTGGTGGACGGGTAGAGACAGAAAACCCCAACACTACTGCTGTCCACCAATTCATAAAGGTCGATACTCCTTGTCAAGCGTGTGCGCTCTGATCAGCAATTCGTTGAGAGTATTCCAAAGCCTGCGGGCGCAAACGAAAACATGTTGTCAGTGTATCGGAGGCTTTTCCACTGACCTCTTTTTCGTTTTTTGGAAGCGTTATTGAGCAGCGCGGGGGGCACACAGACAGGTTATGAGCTGTGAAAGGAGTGTATTATGATGGAATCTTGGAGTAGCATCGATCGTTTCAGCATCAGCAAGATGGACTTTTAAGAGGCGAGAGCGCGAGAGTGCCCGCTGGGTCATCCCCCCATTTTCCCGCTCTCCTCCCCCCCCCCCTGTGCCTGTACCCCAAAAAACAGGGCCAGATCTTCCGCTAGAGGAAGTGCTACCGCCGCCGCCGCCGAGAAGCGGGGTGACCGCCACCACCGCACCCCAAGCACCTTCAACGTCGACGTCACCGGCTACGACCGAAACCACATCCCCGGGCAGCGCTGCGTCTCCGAGCAAGCGCAGCATGGAGGATACGGGTTCTGAAACCGTGGACCCCAGCAAGACCTCGCCTCCCTCGGGAACAGCGGCACCGGATGCGGGGGTGTCCCCACCCGGTAGCAGCAGCAGCGCCTCCGATCGACGGGTTCGTCCACGGATCATGACCTCTGCGAGCGTCGGCGGAGCTTCTGGCGGTCGCGACGATGCTGATGGTTTCGGGCATGACCAGGGAGGAGATGATACGGTCATGGGCGGCGGGGCCGCCGCTAGTTGCTCTTCGAGCAAAGTCAACACCGCGGCGGCTGCAGCAGCAGCAGCCGAGAAGGAGGTTGCCACGATGGCGGCGATTGCCAAGGCTATGCCTAGCGGTGGGGGGGGACGACACCGCCACGTCGAGGTCGAATCGGAGATGTCGGAGATGATGTCGTCAGCGCAGGCACCTCCGAGCGGTCAACAACGGGGCCGGGGTGGTGGTGTTGCTGTGGACGCGTTGCTGCAAGACGTTCGGAGCCTGGCGAGGAGGGTGGAGGCGGCCAGGTCAGCAATGAGTCCGGAGCAGCTCGAAGAAGTCGGCGCGCTGTTGCAGAAAGCGGTGGAGAGCTGAGAGAAAGGAGGGGGAGGACGACCGCTCTGTCATTTTTTTGTTCGTCCGTCCTTCATCCCACCGCATTCCAACACACCGGCGAAGATGTTCTTTTGGTTCGCTCAACACTGCACGCCTTGTTGTGTGTTCCGTCCGAGTGATGCCCATCGGGAGTTGTCATCAGCGTTCCCCCAAGTTTTTGTCCTCTCCTGTTGAGGTATTAGTCGATTTGACATTGCTACTGCTTGGGTGTGTGGGTGCGTCTTGGCTCTTCCGGTGATGTGACTTCTGAACTAGCGATACAACGCCGATATGAAGTTTCGAAGCTAGTTCTTCGAGTCCGACTGAGTCTGTTTGTGCCATCATGACACCTCTTCTGTGCTGTCCGACTGCACCATTTCGTCCTTCGAGCGTTCGCGTTGTACATACACATGCGTTGAGTATAGGATGATTGAGATTTTGAGCGTTGGAAACAAATGTCTGTGCAAGTGTGCATGAAGACCAATACAGTAGGAGGAAGCGATGGGGAAGGGGTGTCGTTCTCGTGTGTGACAGAGGCTATATGCCCCGAGAGACTCATGACGCGAAAAAGCGTGCACATGACGAAGAGAAAGTCGCAAATAAAGAAAAATAGAATATGTGTTTGATTGAGAGTTATGCTGAGAGCAGAGGTACGTATGCAAGGTAGGAAAGGGGGGAACCTGACCCCTCCTACCGCTGTGTTTGGGTCTATACGTGTGACGTGCGTGTGTCGTTTTTACCGTACTTGGGTGGCCTTCGCGGGCGATGTGATCTCAAGAGTTGTGTGGAACAGAAGCAGTACAGATTATTCTAGGAGGGGGGAGGTGCAGTCCACAGTCCACGCGCCGTCCCCTGGGTAGAAGTGGTGTTTGATTTTGCGTTATATACGCGCCGTGAGGCATGCTTGTGGATTGTCACTTGTGCCCTCGCAACGATATTCATCCGTGTCTGCCTCGGGAATCCTCGTGAATGTCAAGATTTCGAGAGTCTTGCCTCGGAAAAAGTTCTCCAAAGTTCCCAGATTTCTCTAGGAGGATGCGTACTACGGTAGCTGTGTCCGTCAGGTTGTCGACTCGATAACGCTGCCTCGAATTTGTGCAACCCAAAAAAAATTATGAAGGGCGGCCGTATCATCCCGCCCTTTCCCCCCCGGTCATCTGGTGTAGCCCCTCAAAGGGAGGTGTGTGGTCAGAGCGCATGAGGTGATGACCAAAGTAACATGATATTCTTCGACTCTGGATTGATATTGGACCTTCTCAATCGATCAAGTACAAACGCTTCGATCAAAACAAAATCTCAGAACACGCAGACATAATAAGCTTAAGCTTTCGTGACTGCCAGGGTTTATTCGGAGGTTAGTCTAAGTATATTTTTCGAGTTTTGCAGTCATTTTCTTCGTTGTTGGAGTTTATATCAGAGGGGATCGGTACTGCTCTTCTCTTTTTGTTCGACACTGCACCATGTGAAGAGCCAGGGCAGATGTGGTGTGATCTATCCAGCAATGACGATTTCGCATCAGTTGGGAGCACGTGCGGGGTAGTGTTGTACATGTACATACTGCGGCCTCTGCTGCTGTGTGGAGGTGGCTTTTGACCCTCGTTCTGCCTCTTTACTACTACCGATGATAATTCACGATCTAAAGTCATTTACTTGTTGACTATCCAACTTGTCTTTACGGACGGAAAATTCCACAGATCCAAAGCTCGCACATAGATTTGCTGCCAACCCAAAAACTGGATCTAAACGGGCAATGAAACGGTCTCTCCTGCTCTGCGTTACCCACACCCGAGCCGAGATAAAACGCTCCCATGTGGTGGCCACGGTGCAGTGAGTCTGACCACAGCAGGTAGACTATATACAGTCAGCAGCGATCTCGAAGGCATTCTTGTCTCCACGTACTCCCTGCAAGGAGAGATAAACAACGAAGACGAACAAAAGATCTCACGCAACAACGCGCAAAACGTGCCAACTGACTACCGCATACCAGGTTACCTGGTATTGGCGTATGGGCAGGCTGTCGAAACCCCAACACAAGGAGAGACAGAGAGACAGAGAGGTAGAAAGAGATATCACTCTTGCGTGGAAGTGTTGCCATCAACCGCCAACCTCTTGATTACTCTGCTGGTATACATATTGTCGTGGAGGTTGTCACCTCGATTATGCGTGCCTGTCTAGGGAGTATGCTCTCATCAAGTAAAAAAATTCAAACTGGCTTCTACTGCTGTAGATCTATCTGCCGCAGCTGATCTGCCGTACAGCAGTAAATCGAGGAGGGCCTGCTACACCAGAATTGCAGGGTGGGTTCCAGTAGGCACAAGCCATGGAAACTGGCGCTCACCTTAGTCGCCATGCCCGCGGTTCGCCAGTGGCAACTTTACAAGACAGAGGGACGAGAGGTAAAGAGTCCCGTGATGGCGTGGGTAGACTATGTCGCTCCCTGTGACAGAAACAAAAAATGCGGCGCATCTTCCTGTCAACAAATTTGCCAGCTAAACCGCGCGCAAATCCAGCAAATGGCCCTCGCAAATTCGAGAGCAGCTTGCCGCCATCATCCGCGCACTCTCCCCCACACAGTCCCCCACCTCTGTCACAATTTTCCTTCCTCTCTTCTCCTCACTTCCTTTCAACCTCGCACTCCCCTCTCTCCTCTACCGTCAACTACAACGGACAGCAGTAAATCATGAGCGCAATGACAGAGTCCGCCACACCGGCTTGCCCTTCCGATGGCCGCAAGGTGTGATTTGCGATTACATGTGCATTCAACACGTGCCTGTTTGACTTCCTTCCTTTTTCTATGCCTTAGTGAGTGCTTGAGGGGGGGGTGAGTCTTGACCAGCATCCTAAGCTCCGACACAAGAGAGAAAATGTGCGCTCCGGAATGTGGTGTACGGCTGTCATTAGAGCCAGCTCGATGAACGGCGTCATGCTCCGAGTTACGTCGTTTCGTCGTTTCGTTGCTCGGACAATCTGGTTATACCTGTATCTCGAGCAATTCACACACAGCCAATGGTCGTCCATAAACTCCAAGAAGAAGTGGTTCCCCCTTTTCCTACCGGCTAGTTCCAACCCCCCCACCCCGTTGCTACTGCTGTCTCTCGCGCCAGGCCTCACTCTACCACTACAGTACGTCGGACGCTCATTGCATACCTCGCTCCTCGATTTCGTTTCGCGTGTTGGTGTAGCGAAAATATTTGGACCCCGCCATCACCGCACACACGAACACACCCGCAGTCGAATACATGAACACAACTACGGTCCTCGCCTCTCGTCGGTCATGCCCCTTCGTGAGCATACTCCCACGGCGGTTCATACTGTAGCTTATGACCGCTCCTTTTCTTCATCCCTCCCCTGGGTGTCGTTTCTCCGGCTGCCCTTCACAGACTACTACTGTCCAAGACATTCGATAATTTGGATTGCTTCGCGAAAATGACAACATCCTCCCGCGCCGTCATCCCTTGTCTGTACGTCTGTCTCTCTCGCTCTCTCTCCCCCTCACGAAAACCTTTTGCAGCACCCTCCGACTCGCAGGGGCATCATCGTGAATGTCATGGTCGAGAGCGCGGACAAGTTTGTCGACTTCATGGGAAAAACCACCAAAGCCAAGGTAGGTTTGCAAAGCTCGTCCGTACACAAACACTTGGTACGTTTTCGCGGGCTTTGGGCTCACAATTGTCAGTGGACGGTCAAGTTGTCTATTCGCCCCCTTTTTGGCTGGCGTGTGCCAACAAATTGGTTCCCCGATGCGAAGAACATCAACCGACTTGCTGCATCGACAGGCAGTTGCCATCTCAGTCGATGAAAATCACAAATAATCGAGTCGGCCTGCGGTATAGATTTGGCGCCTGACAGATGGCGGTGGCGATGCCCTTTCGCGGCCGAGCAGAACCTCGTATTTAGCTGCACCGTACACACACAATCACCGCGGTTTCCCAGTGCAGGTGAGTAGGCCGCATCGCACGTTTTCGGTTGCTTCGAAATGATACAAATCGTTAAACCAACATTGCTGCGCGCGCCTGTTGTTCCATGATCGCTATGCCGCACGCCGCCGCTCCCAATCCCCCCCCTACCCGCCCTCCCGTCCTTCGTCAGGAGTACTTCCGCTTCCCCGACGAGGACGGCAAGATCATGCACCTCGCCATAGACATCGGCGGCGTAGCGCTGTACGTCGAGGAGCTCGGCAACAAGATGGACACCGGCGCCATCAGCACCCCTCACGCCCGCCTGCACCTCAACACCGACGACCCGATCGGCGTTGGTGCCAAGCTGGTGGAGCACGGTGCCAAGGAGCTCACCAAGATGGCCGAGCAGTTCTGGGGCGCCACGTGAGTTGTTGGGTGCTCTTGTTGTTTTCGGGAGATGAAAGTGTGTCGCGCTTGTGCCACGATTTGGTTGCGTTCTTTTGGGAAAGCAGTTTCTGTTGTTTGATGCTCCGTGTTGTTGGATTTGAACGAATTTCGAGAGATGAGAAAGGGCTTTGTGCCACGGTTCTGTTGTTCTCTTTAGAGAAAGAAGGCCCTGTTTTGATAAATGCTGTTTTCATTGCCGGACGGGTTTCAGTGGATGCTTCTGATCCGTCCTCGTGAGGTGAGAAACGTCAGTGGTGGTATTGTTGAAAAACGTCGGTCGGTCGCAGTGCTGGCCCCGCATACGCGCATCCTTTGGCGTCCCTTTTACCCCGATAGTAGTTCATCCCTTCTCTCTCAAGACCTTCGTTCGATACAGCTCCCCCTCCCTTCACTTTCTTGGTTGCAAGACCCACGACAACATGTAGCGCACTCAGCAAGAGCACAAGCCTGGAACACTCTTAAACGTAACACCCTTGCCCCCTATATGCATACAAATACAACAAAAGGTTCGGTGTTTACCAGGACCCTTTCGGTCAGATCTGGTCGGTGTCAAACTCCACCAACACCATCGAGGACGTGCCCAAGGAGCTGGCGCGCAAGATCA